TTAGTAATAGGTAGTTAACTTAATTCTAAAAAAAAACAAACCAACCCATCTTCCTCCCTTTACTCTCTCACCAGGGTGTGTGTTAAGGATGTTGCTGGGATCTGTTTGCCAACAAATGTGAAATTTCAGAGTCCAGCTTGTTCTTCTGTAGATGCCGAAGAAACAATTGAACCATATACAACCGAAAAGATGAGTCGAGTTCCTGGGGGATATTTAGCTTTGACAGAGTGCTTTGAAATTATGACAGTAGATTTCAACAATCTTCAGGTAAAAAAAAAAGGCTAAGTTACTATTTTTGAGCATTAAATTTCTTGTATTTGTTTAAGATAATTAATACACAGGAGTCTTATTTTATGAGTTTGCATGGGGGTACCACTAACTACATAAAGAAAATGATTAAACGGTAATCGGAATTCCCTCCTGAAATTATTTACTTACTTTAATACAGAGAAAAAAAAATCCTTGCAGCTTTTTAGGAATGTCTAGTGTGCCTGGTACATTCACATGTGTCCTTAGGTCACTCTTACAACAGTTTTGCAATATAGTTATAATTATCCTTGTGTTCTACGGATGAAGGAAATGTTTACATATTTAATAACCTCCAGCTGTGAATGCGGGGGTAGGAGTTATAGCCTAGACCTTCCAACTTTTCTCTGTGTCATACTTCCATTTCAGATTAACAGTATTCCTTGAAATGAACAGTAATCAGATCTCTAGATGGTTTGTGTAGTATGGTGACCAGCCATCCTGGTCTGCCTGGAACTAAGAGGTTCCCTAGACAAAGGACTTTTAGTTTTAAGACAGACAGTCTTGGGCAAATCAGGACAAGTTGATAACCGTGTGTGTGGGTGTGTGTGTGTGTGTGTGTGCGCGTGTGCGTGTGCGTGTGTTGGTGGGTGGTGGGAGGAGGATGTCCTGTACAAAGAAAGTGCCCGAGACAGGTTACAGAGAGTCCTTCCCCTCTGTGCTAACTGTTCAAGTACACAGGGTTTTTAGATGAAACCTGCCTCGGGGCAGAAGACTTTGTGAGGGTCATTTTAGCCTAGGATCTTCATAATCTAATAAAAGCTTTCCTCTATTAACTGTTAACTAGGTTTTTCTTGAGCTGGTCTGGAACTAAATTCACTCTTGGGCGTTGCTCACTAGGACTGGGTTTCAGGAGCGTTTCTTTGCTGATGTAACATTCCGATGGGAACAGCTCCGTCATAGCTGCCAAACACCCCAAAGCTGTCCTCCTCTAATTTTAAGCTTTTCTTATTTTAATTTTTCTTTCACACACACACACACCCCATCTTATTAAGGCTTTAATTTTAAAAGTAATATCTCCCTGTTTAACACTTCAAAGTAAGACAGTAGAAAGGAAAAAGAAAAAGTATATTTCTACTTTCTTAAAATCTAATTTAGGACCTTCTTTCCCGAGGTCACCAGTTTGAAATACATTGTTTTTTTTTTTTTTTTAATTGAAGTACTGTCAGTTACAATGTGTTGATTTCTGGTGTACAGCGCAATGTCCCAGTCATGCATATACATACCTATATTCATTTACATATTTTTTGTCTGAAATATATCTTCAGACTTGCTTTTCTATTCTTCTACACACCACATGCACCCCCCCCACGCACACTTTTTTTTAGACAAAATAACCCCTATTGCTTTGCAATGCCTGCCTTCATTGAACAGTCTGTCATGGACTTCCTGCTGCATCGTTAAATGTATCTGCCTCAGTGTTTATAAATAGCTGCAGGGTGTTCACCACAACGTATCAGACCTTCCCGGTTATGGGTGTCTGAGACATTCATCCCCTAAGGGTGCAGGGCAGGACTGAGAACTTACAGGAATGGAGAGTGATATGATACAGGGGACTGTGTAAAATGAATGTGTAAAGTCATCTTATTTCTTTTATATTTTTTGTCAGGAATTAAAAAGTCTTGCAACTAGGAAACCTGATAAAATCAGTACTCCTGTTATTAAAGAAGGCGTGCTAGATGCTGTTGTGGTTTGGTTTGTGCTCCAGCTGGATGAGGAACACAGTTTATCCACAAGTCCTAATGAGGAAACATGCTGGGAACAGGCTGTCTACCCCGTACACGATCTTGCAGGTATATCTTGTCTGATTTTTTTTCCGGTGGGGGGGACTTGTTGTTTTAATCCTCTCAGTATTTGAGTCAGTGTCAAGAAAATTCAATTTGAATATGAAGTTTCCAGTTAAGGGAGATTGGTTAAATCTTTGAGAGTTTTCTTTTTCTTTTTCAAAAGTAGCTTTAAATAATTAAGATATATAGTTAAGAGAGACTAAAACACAACTCTGCTGCATGCCATTCAGAAATACCCATCATTAAATCATTTCTTCAGCTCTGAGTCCTCTGGTCATCAGCAGGTAAGAGAAATGCTAGTTCAGTTTCTATGGAACACAGTGGGAAGCTACCACTTATAGTGCAGGAGTTCTCACCACTTACAGAATCGATGGCACCTGTGGGTTCCCAGGTCGTGGAAATATGCACACTCAGATTAAGTACAACATTTTGCAGTTTTAGAGTTCATGAATCGATGGACTTAACCTAGGGAAGTCCTTATTAAAGGTATTTTTTTGTAGAGATTTTTTTTTTACCAGCAATTTGGTGGGTATCAGTATAGTTAGAGCAGTTGTATTCCGTAGACAAAGTCCACCCCTTTCTTCACACTGGAAGGCAATACATTTTTACTTCTGTGTGGCCTCCTAGTCAAGGATCTGATCTGGCAAGGTCACTGGGTCATGGAATCCGTGTAGTGTTGTGGCTAGGATGGTTTTTGGAGTCAGTCAGGTAGATGTGAATTCGGATCTTGGCTACTTCCTGACTCCCTGGCCGGCCTTGCTGGTTATTTCTTAGAGCTTCTGTTATGTGAAGGATAAAAATGGGATGACGCTGGCTAACCTTGCGAGACTGTTGCAGGAATTACTAGACATACTGGATGTACAGTGCCTACCATAGTGACCAGCACTCAATAAGTAGCATTTTAAAAGCTGTGCTCATTTATTCTAACTCTCTTACGGTAATTTAGATGGTACTTTTTTTTTTAAATCCTTCTTAGGGATGAGACATTTAAAATGTGTAAACAAGAATAACGTGCATTTTCAACTGGCTCTAAGGCTGATAAGAAGGAATTGCAATCACACATTTGCACTTCAAAGTTTTGCCACATGTGGAAGCTCATGGATAAGACCATGATATATAGTCTTCATTGTAGGCCTTAGTCCTTCCTTATATTTTCAAATGTCTCGACATGTAAGAATGTCTAAATACTTACAGTTAAGAAATACTACTGATAAGATTCTATTGAACGCTGCCTTGTTCTTTTGGAAATTTCTCTTAGAGAAAAGAGTGTCCCTTTAAGCTAAAGCGAGGTTTGGTATTGAGCCCTGAACTGCAGCTGTCTTTGTTACTGCTGGCTTCATTACCAAAGACCGGGAGTCCCCTGTAGTCCTCCCCCTGCCTTGCAGTTTGGGGACGTGGTGATGCCTAGTGGTTACAGTAAAAGCACTATGCCCCTGACAGTTAAAGGTCCAGTAATGAGCTCTTAAATCTCTCCATTGTGCTATAAATTAATTGGATCTTCAAACTTCAGTTTTTCCCTAAGTAAAGCTGGAGGGATTTTCCTAGTTTTTTTTTTTAATAGGAAATGAAGAGATTAATTCACTTAATTCTATTAAATCAATAGATTACTCTTTCCTGTAGTGGTTTAAAAAACGGGGGGTGGGAACAGAGTTCTTTGTGTTATTCTCAGGCTTATAAACACTCATATTCATCAGCTGCAATTTTTTTCTTTTTTCCTGCGTTGTGAAGACTACTGGATAAAGCCTGGGGACCAGGTGATGATGGAAGTGTCTTGTCAAGATTGTTACTTAAGAATCCAGGGTATCAGTGTCTTCAATTCTGAACACGAAATGGACGTTGGGAAAAGTTTCACCAAGAATGAAGACTTGCTCTGTGTAGGAAACGAGGCTGAACTCTGTAGCGCCCTGGCTAACCTTCAGACCAGTAAACCGGATGCTGCGGAGCAGACGTGTGTGTTGGAATCCACAGAAATCGCTTTGCTTAATAACGCCCCGTATCACGAAGGCTTTAAAATGGCCATGAGGAAAGTGTTGTCTTCGCTGACTCCGGAGAAAGTGGGCCAGGCCACGGACACTCAGTGTCAGAGGAAGGGGATGAGCTGTGGCAGTGGACAGAGTGGCTCAGAGCAGAGCGTCCCTGAACCTTTCTATGTGTTGGACGTGTCGGAGGGCTTCTCCGTTCTGCCTGTGATGGCCGGCACGCTTGGGCAGGTCAGGCCTTACAGCTCTGTGGAGAAGGAGCAGCACCGCACCGCCCTGGACCTCATATCTGACGCCAGTCACTTTCCTAGAGAAACACTTGAGTTTTGGTTGAGACATGTGGAAGACGAGTCTGCGGTGTTGCAAAGGCCAAAGTCAGACAAGTTGTGGAGCGTAATTATATTGGATGTCATCGAGCCGTCTGGGCTCATTCAGCAGGAGATAATGGAGAAAGCTGCAATATCCAGGTAAAACACAGTACGACCCTTGGTTTGTCTGAGCTCAGACTTCCCGTAAATTCTTCTAGTTCCTTAACGGCGTGACTATACAAATGAGTTGGGAGCATCGTCTGTTCTCGGCGTTGCTTTTAGGGCCTGTGACTCCCTGTTTTTCTCTTTCTGTGCATGTCATTACTGATTTTGCTTTCCCTAAAGGAACCCCCTGCACTGCAGGTGTGAAGAGAGCCTGCTTTGGGATTGAACTGTCTATGTGTTAAATAGGGAATTCAGTAGAGAGCTGTAAGACCAGATAAGACGGTGAGGGTAAATAAGGAAAAATCAAATTTCATCTTTATGATCTAAGAAACACCAATAAAAAACATATAGTATGCACTTGATGGTGTATTGGGAGAGCTGAGTGCTTCTTAGGAACAAGTCCCGATACTTTAAGGTCTTAGAATCTTTATTTTTGTACAGTTCTCTCCCTAAAGTATTTCTCCTTCAGCTCAGGTTGCTGGAGGTAAACTCGACCCTAATATTTAATTACTGAAAGCAGATTTGGCTAAGCTTTAGAGTCTTTCAGTTGTGCTGCTCAGATCTGAAAAGATGACAATATTTAACATTTGGGGGCCCAAATTTAAGTAAAACGGGTTTATAAATTTAAAATTTTGTAGTATATGAACAGGGATTGTTTTGTAGTACAGGCACAGTGGTGGGAATGCAGGCCAACTGCAATAGCAAAAGGCAAATTGTCCAGGAAAAAAAGCATTTGCTTGTATAGTTAATTAGATTTTAGGTTTCATGTGCATTTTCTTTCATTAACCACACTTATCTTTTCTTATGGAGTAACTAGTAAAAATCACTGCTTTTTTTTTTTCCTTTAAAACAATCTTGTACATACAAATTATGGGGATATAGAAGTCTGATGTAAATAAACACACACACACACTCTCTCCCTCACTCGCTGTCTCTCTTAAAATTTTAAACGGATGTACTTGACAGAGTATAGAACAAGGAGATGAAAGGGTTTGACTCTAGTCTCAGACTTGCCGCTGAATTCCTGAAGTAGTAAAATTTGCTTATAGGTCATTTAATCTCTCTCATCTTCAGTTTTCCTCACCTGTAAAATGAGGGATACTGGATTAGATGCCTTTGAAGGCATTTCAGCTCTACACATTACTGACGCAAATGAGCTTTGACTTATTTGGTATAATCGCCTTGAAAAGATGTACACTTTAACTAATGGTTTATTATTTTATTTTCAGGTTTAATTCTTTTTCTGATTTTTTTTGTGGTAAAATGCATATGTGAAATTTTTCATCTTAACCATCTTTAAGGGTACAGTTCAGTGGTATTAAATACTCTCATAATGTTGTGAACCATTACCTCCAGCCATCCCCTTAACTCTCTTCATATTGTAAAACTGGAAGTTTGTATCCATTAAACAATAATTGTTCACGCCAGCCTCCCCCCAGCTGCTGGCAACCACCATTGTATCCTCTGCTTCTGTGAGTTTGACTGTGCCTCACGTGACTGGAACCAGACAGGATTTGTTTTTGTGTGTGTTATCATCTTATTTCACTCAGCATATATCCTCCAGGTTCATCCACGTTGTAGAATGTCAGAATTTCCTTCCTTTTTAAGGTGGGATAATACTCCATTGTATGTATATATCACATTCTGCTTACCCATCCACTGATGTACTCTTGGGTTGCCTCCACGTTTTAGCTGTTGTGAATGGTAATAATGAATATGCGTGTACCAGCATCTTTTGAGATCCTGCTTTCACGTCTTATGGGTATATACCCAGAGTGGAATTGCTGAATCATATGGTAATTCTATCTTTGATTTTTTGAGAAACTGCCCTTCTGTCTTCCACAGCAGCTGTACCATTTTACATCCCCACCAGCAGTGCACAAGGCTTCCGGTTTCTCTGAATCCTTGCCAGCACTTGTTTTTGTACTTCTGGTAGTAGCCACTCTATTGGGTGTGAGGTGGTATCTCATTATTGCTTTAATATGCATTTGTCTTATGATTAGTAATGTTGAGCATCTTTTCATATGCTTGTGGGTCATCTGTGTATCTTTGGAGAATTATCTATTCAAGTCCATTGCCCATTTAAAAATTTTTTAAATTATTGTTGTCGAGTTATAGGAGTTCCTTGTGTATCCTGGATATTAACCGCTTACGAGATATAAGATTTGCAGATGTTTTCCCCCGTTCCGTAGGTTGCCTTTTCATTCTGTTGATTGTGTTTTTTGATACACAGACATTTAAAAATTTGACGTAGTCCCATTGGTGTATTTTTGCTCTTGGTTCTTTCTTCTGTATGGTCAAATCTGCTGTTGAATCCCTCTAGTGAACTTTTGAGTTCAGTTATTCTTTAGCTCAGAATATCTGCTTGGTTCTTCAGTTTCCATCTCTTTGTTCATATTATCATTTTTATTAATGCATCATTTTCCTGATTTCATTTTTCATGCATCCTGTGACAGTTATTTTAAATTCTCTGTAACTTGCAGATCTGTGTTTCTTCAGAGTCCGTTTCTGGAGATTTGTTGCTTTGATTGGGCCATGTTTTCCTGTTTCTTTGTATGCCTTGTTACCTTTAAGAGGACTTGGACTTAAAGAAAGGCTTCTGGCTCTGTGTGGAGAGGACCTTTACCATTCTGCCTGCCTAGAGATTCTGGAGACCTCTCAAGCTTTTTCTGGGGGTGCGTCTTCTCTGGGCTTATGTGTCACCTCTTAGTGAAGAGGTTTGCCTGTTTCTCCTCAGGGGCTCCTCCTGGTGTCTGCCTGAAGTACTGCAGCTTCTTCGGTGCCGTAGCAGGTCATGGTGCTAGAGCTCCCCCTGATGTCTGTCTGTGGTACTGCAGATTCTCCAGTGTTCGAACAAGCCAAGTACTCTCTTTTAAGGGGTCCCCAGCCATTCCTATCACCACTTACATTCAGCCAAGGCTAGTCCCTTCGGCAGCCCCCTGAAAATGTTGGAACGTTGGATGTAAGTCCTCTTTTCTCTTTCCCTCCCCAAGGAGAAGCTGGGAGTTAGAAGTTTTCTTCTGATTGTACCGCGCTATGCCTGGAGGAGGGACCATGGCAAGGTCATGCCTTTTCTGCCATGCGATTCTGTTTGGCTGTGTGCTGGCCTCACTTAGGACTTCTAGTAACTATGTTGAATGGAAGTGGTGATAACAGGCATCCTCGTCTTGTTCCTGATCTTAGAGGAAAAGCTTTCTTTCAGACAGCCACATTTTACTTAAATGGAACCTTGTAAAGGACTTTTTATTTTTTCAAAAAACTTGTATTAATTTATTTTGGGGGAGGATATTTGGTTTATTTATTTATTTTTAGAGGAGGTACTGGGGATTGAACTGAGGCCCTCGTGCATGCTAAGCATGCACTCTACTACTTGGGCTGTACCCTCCCCCCAGTAAAGGATTCTTTTTAAAAGCAGTTGATTGTAAAAACAATTTATCAGACAGTATGTACTTTCTGAGTGATTAGTTGTATTAGTGGGAAACATCTTACATAAACTATCTGCAGTTCCCCTTCCCAGTGTTCTCGGGGGGGTCCTACTGGCAGTTTGGGGGACAGTTTTTTTGAGGGGTGAGTTGGGGACAGTTATTATGTAGGACTGCCCTGTGTGTTGCAGGATGTTCAGCATCTCTGGGAACTAAATGCTAGAGGCACCCATTCATTGCTCTAACCAGTTTTCTTCCCGCCTTTGCGAACACCCCCCCCAAGCAACAGTGCAGACCCAGGGCTCCCCTCCTTCAGCCTGAGCTATCGCGCGGTCCCCTCACCAGATACTCTTGGGTGCGTACGCTTGCCTTGATTCTGGGGCCAGAGGTATGCAGTTACTCTCGCCCGGGCCTCTAATTTTGGTCTTTAGCCTCTAACAGTGGGGAGACTTCATGACTGGTGAAAGAAGATGAAGTTTGGGGCTGAGAGAATAGATTATATTTGGGATAAGGATACAGGGCATCTGTTTCACTGGATACCAACCTTCCCCCAAAAAAAGGTAGGGAAAAATGAGCCATTGTACAAACCTAAGTATTCACTCTCTAGTTACCTTTGCAGTTGTTGTTTTAAAATGTGCGTTCTTAAGCTTTATTTAGTCATACTATATTAAAATACAGGAGAAAGTTTAAAAGCTTTTTTTTTTAATTTAAAACCATTTAGAAACACTTTGTTGGACCACGAGGAAACAGTGAAGAGTGTCTTCAGAATTTTTGCCATCTATGGTTCGACTTTTGAGGTGGAACATATTTTTTTATTTCTGGAGGCACAGATGGTTCAGAAATATTTGGCTTTGCACAGGATTCCATTGAGGAGTCTGGCAGCTGTACTGGTGTCAGTGACAACACTCGGTGTCAGGAAAGCCAAGTGGAGTTTCAACGCAGTTACTGTTTTATCTACACATAACTAAGAAGCATTCCTGTTAGTGACAGTAACACTGAGTTAAGGGTTTGTACAAGATTTTAAAGTAGCGTGAACGTGTCCTTTTAAAATAATTTTCATACTTGCTTTTGACTAGTATTTATCTCTGGCTTGGTGGTTAGTACTTGGTTCAGCCTTTTCTGACTTTCTAGGGTTCAGCAGATGTATTTTGGACATTCTGTTTAGCCCAAGTTTTTAGTTACCCCATAAAAGACTTGATGGTCTTGCCTGCCGCCCTCCCTCTCTCCCATAGGTTTTATGGTAAGAAGCTTGGCTTTATTAACCTGTGTACCTTTTTGTCTCTGATTTCATAGACTGCTACCGTCTTGTGGCTATTTGAGGGTGGAGGGAATTAGTCAAGTAACATAAAGCTCTGTGGCTTGTCTCTCAAATTTGAGACTTCGTGATCTTAAGAAAAATTAGATCTGGTTTCATTGAAACGATCACAAATAGCAAATAACTTCATTTGTCTAGAAAATTTAGTAAGATGACTTCTGAACATCCTTTTCCTAATCAAACTTTCACCCACTAGTTTTAATAGCCATTGATGACTCTTCTTGAATCTACAAGCTTCTGTCCCTCCAGCTGACTGGTTGCTTTGCAGGCAGTTTGCCATTCTGAACCACTGGCTGGCTACCAGCCTAAAGTCCTTCAGACGATGCAGAATCTGTAGCTCCACAGTTAGTCATGGTTCAGGTATTGGTACTTACGAAATGTGGGGAATCAAGATGCTTTTTAAAGCGTTTTCTTCCCTCCAGGTGTTTGCTGCAGTCTGGGGGCAAGATCTTTCCCCAGTATGTGCTGATGTTTGGGCTGCTTGTGGAATCACAGACGCTGGTGGAGGAGAGTGCTGTGCAAGGAACGGAACGGACTCTTGGATTAAATATAGCGCCTTTCATTAACCAGTTTCAGGTACGTGTTTAGAAGAGAAGTTCAACTAGGTGGCTGTTAGATCTCCCTTATCCTCTCTCTGTAATTTTATAGTCACTGTGTTTAGTTGGATTAGGATGGTAATCAGTCTTCTAGAGCAAAGGAACTTATTACTGGTAAAAATCAACCTAGGGGTTAGTGTAGCCAAGGAATTCTGTTGTTCCTGCTGACAAAAGTCAATAGATACTGCTCTGAACCACCGTTATAAATGAAAAATAGGCTGCTGGGTTTAGTCTTAGGAACAAGTGTGCTGCTTGTCTAAAAAAAGCAGCAGCCAGAAAACCTTTGTTCTAAACATGAACCCCTAATTACAGTGAGACTCCAGGCTGGCAGGTGTGAGCCCCTGACATCTCGTCTCGGCAGTTAGACTGCAGGGAGCAGGAATGTAGGCGCCCCGGAGACTGGAGCTCAAGGAGGAGGCGTTAGTTGCTGTCTGGGGAAGAAGGATTTAGTGCTGGCAGAGGTGCTAGTAGCAGAATTAAATTTGTGAGTTAAAATTGTGGGAGTGGGTGGAATGTCTAGGGACGCAGTTTGGGGCTGGCAGTAGGTGGGACGCTGCTGTGGGTAGTGGGATGCTGAGTACTGAGTTACAGGAGTGATCGCTGAACCTTTTACCTAAAAGCTGCAGGCAATAAGCTCTTGAATATGCATTGTTAGATCTTCAATGGACAGTACTTGCTCAACAAATATAAATTTGTTGAGGAAATGATTTTTTTCAGGGCAGGCTAAGGCTTTAGAATTTGCTTAATCTCAGTTTTGTGGAGAGTTTAACAAAGAAAACACACCAGTCAGAAGACCGAGAAGTTTAAACTATTTGTGTGGTCCAGAAATACCACCATCTCCTGTCTTGTAGCTTATTCTCTCTCGGTCCTGATGTGAACAATTTTGGATTCCATCAGAGTCTATGATATTTTGATCCTGCTATCTCTTCACTCATATCCTCCTCAACAGCTTATAGTCCATGGTCTGTATATTTTTCATATATCCCTTCTCTTCCATTTTTCTGCTGGGCGGGGAAAATCCCAGCTTGGTTGAATTCTACTTTCTGCCTTCTCTGCACCAGCACCCCCACAGCTGAATATGCTGACTGGTCTCACTTCCACTTATGACTACTCATCTCAAGAGGCTCCATGAACCTGCTTGGCAGTTTTACCCCTCCAAGTCCACTCACCCATTTTCTGAGATGATATTGTCTCCTCTCTAATGTGGTGATTATCTATTACACTGACAACTGAGTGAACCAATGAAACAAAATGAGAGGCTGTTTAAAAAAAAAAGCTATATAGAAAACAGCAGAGATGTATTAATTCATTCAACAAATATCTACTATATGTGCTTTTAGGTTTTGGGAATATAGTCAGGAAACTAAAGAGGTAAGTTCCTGCACTCTTGGACCTAGCATTCAAACAGACAATAAACAAACAAGAAATAGACAGACAAAGGAGTAGAAAGATTAGTTTGATAGATGGTGAGAAGTGAGGAGGTTAGAGGAGACTGGGAACTGGAGGTACGGGGTAGTCTCTTATTCGGGGAATGTGTACAGAAAGGACTCCTGGATGAGTGCTATTTAAGCAGAGACCTGAGAGAAATAAGGAAGCACACCATGTCCAAGTCAAAGGCTCAACAAACGCAATGACCTGAGGCAAAAGCATGATTGGAGTATTTGAAACAGTAAGAAGAAACCATGAGGGAGGCTCAGGTGAAGGATACAATCAGAAAAGCATTAGGAGTTAGGTCTCGCAGAGCTTTTTGGTCATGGTGAACGTTCTGGCTTTTACTCTGAACGGGGTGGAAAACAACTGGATGGTATTGAACAGAGGAGTGATGAGGTGTGCCTTGTTTTGAAAGGATTACTACGGTTGGTGTGTTAGGAGTGGACCACTGTGGAGAGCAGGCAAGGGCCTAAGACCATTGCAGTAACCCAGCAAAGAGGTGGTGGTGGCTTCGACTAGAGTGGTAGCAAGGCAGGTGGTGCAAAGTGGTAGGCTGTAGGTATATTTTGAAGGCAGGTTTTGATGGATTGGATGTAGTCTGTGAGAAAGCGCCCGGAACATAGTTCCCATTTACTGATGTAGGCGAAATAGGAGGATCAGGTTGTGCTTCATTTTTATGGGATCATTAAGCAGTTGGATAAGAATTCAGATAAACAGCTAGAGATAGAATTTGGTGATGAGATTTAGTAGATGACATTTAAAGCCGTAAGACTGGGATGGAATCACCTTGGGGATGTGTAGAAAGAGAACAGGGCTGAGAACTAAATTCTAGAGAACTCAACAAGGTTATGAGCTCTAGATGGGAAATCTAAGAAGGGATTAGCAAAGATGACAGGAGTGGCCAGTCGGCTAAGTTGAGAAGTAAGTGAGGACAGACTATGAGGGAAGGTGCAGCTGTGTGGGGATAGAGTGCAGGTGATGACAGGGGACAGAGGACTCGAGGGCTGTTCTTCTGGTGACTGATGCAAACAGGGGAATGGCAGGGACTCACTGAGTTTTTATGGGGTGGGGGACAGGTGGATCCCTTCAAGGATGCCCAGGGAGAGGTTGATGTGTCTGTGTCCTTTTTACCATGAACAGCTGCTCTCTAATAATTTATTCAAAGGCAAGAGGGTACTTTTTCAACAGTAGCTTCCTTTCTATTTCAAACAAGGAGGCTAAATTGTTAGTAGGAAGGTTCCGTTGCCGCTGAAATGGATGCAGCACCTTACAGCAGTGGTTCTCAACCCTGTCTGCACTCTCAGAACTACCGATAGCTGGATCCCAGCTCCAGTCAGTCTGAGGTGTGGCCTGAGCTGTGAGGGCTTTTTAAAAGCTCTTTGGGTGATTTTAATTTGCAGTTGAAACTGAGAACGACTGCCTTTTAGATACATAAATTACTTTCAAAGTGAACTCCACTATTAGTTGTTTGGTTGCACTTGACATACTTTCTCAAGCAGTTCAGTAATTAATGTTGTATTATTTGCTTATTGGTTCATCTTTCACACATAAGCATATCTTTGGTTTAAAATTTTTGGAGCTGTTTGGCTAAATAAAAATTTAATCTGCTGTTACCCAAGTGCAGAATCTATTGATAACTGAAACCACGGAATATTATTTAACCAGTGTAAAATCTTAGTTTGTTCATTCTCATAAAACTGGAATCATGAAAGTCCTTATGCCTTAATAAGGTTGATGTGGGAATTAAATTAAATGAGGTAATAAATATGAAAAGCACTGTATCATATTGAGCCAAGTACAAAGCAGGAAACTTAATGAGACTCGGTCACAAAAAGAATTGAGTAAAAGTGAAAACCGTATACTTTCTTTAGGTCCCTATACGTGTATTTCTAGACCTGTCCTCACTGCCCTGTGTACCTTTAAGTGAGCCAGTGGAACTGCTAAGACTAGACCTGATGACACCGTATTTGAACACCGCTAACAGAGAAGTAAAGGTAGTGTAAAATGATTACTCCTGTCGTTCCAGACTTATCTTAAACTAGGTAGTACTTTAGATACATGAAATAGTTTTAGTCACTTTCTTTGAAGATTTAAATGTTATTTATTTTCTGAACAGTATCCAGACATAGGCTTGGGTAAACATTAATGAATAAGATAGATTGGTATTAATTTGAATTGGGTGATTAATTATATTTCTTTATAAAATTTGGATCTAAAATTGACTGAAAAGACAAAGACTTATCCAAATCTACTCTGTTTACACTGATGAAGTTTTCGTGGTTTAATTTAATAGGTACGCATTTGTAAATCTGGACAAGTGACTGCCATTCCATTTTGGTATCATCTGTACCTTGATGATGAGATTAGGTTGGATACTTCGAGTGAAGCCTCCCACTGGAAACAAGCTGCAGTTGTTTTAGATAACCCCATCCAGGTGGAAATGGGAGATGAACTTGTGCTCAACGTCCAGCACCACAAAAGCAATGTCAGCATCACAGTGAAGCAATGAAGAGCAGTTTTCCAATGAAAAAATGTGGAAATAGAGCAGCAAGTTCACAATTCTTGTAGTCTGAATTAGTCGTGGGATTGTAATCATAAAATGGAGTTATGGAGATTTAATTCCTTCTAATGGTCGAATGTTTTTTAAAATGGACATTAATAAAGTGTATTTAAAAGATCTGAAATTTAAAAGTGGCATTATTACAAAAATATTGCTGCAGACTTCCTTTCTGGAAAAGGCTGTCATTAATTTTTCAAATTAGGAACCTGTTTTTATTGCTTGGTTTTACTTACTACAGATTAAATTTTGCCAAACCTGTGAGTCTATACTCTTAACCTATAAAGATTAGGGATTTTGAATCTCATCTTCATTTTTTAGGCATCTTGGATTTTTTCCCCTTAAATCCAAACTTATAGTTGGGAATACATCAAAAAGTTGGCTTCACTGAAGACTGAGGGCTATGGTTATCTGTAAATTCCAAGCTTGCTTCTTTTAAATACTTGAAATACTTCTGAACCACCTTCTCAGTTTTCATGTTTTGGGAATGCAAACTTGAGTAAGAATTGAAGCTGTAGACTAAATCTAAGTAAGAGTATAAGAGGGACAAAGTAAAATCTGGGCGTTTAGCATTTTTCCTGGGCTACTGGCAAAGAAAAATTAAAAAGCTGATAAATTCAAGAAAGAGTTAAACCTAAACCAGTATTTTTCAAAGTTTTGATCTGGATGCACAGTAAGAAAAAAAATTAGTCCAAATTTTAAAGACCTGAAGTAGCAAGATTAATAAGTAAGATCATCATGCCTTGTATACACTGCGTGCTGTTTGTTAAGTGAACCACACAGGAAGTTAGATGTATCTTCTCTCCAAACTGCCTGATCTCCTTGCCTCTATTATACTGCCCACCTTTACTGTCGGTAAAATTGTTTAGTTTATAAGAATGGACAGAGTAAAAACTTTGTACCTAACTACCATGAACCAGTATGCATGTATGTACATATTAGATATATATGTGCTTAAATATACAAAGCAAAGGTTTTGAGAAGTAATACTTATCTTTGCTATTTGCAACATACTACTCTGGCACTTTATTTTCAATGTAAATGTTAGACCCAATGGGTTATGATTAGCAATTAGAGGAACTCCATCCCAATTAATAAATTTCTCCCCAACAGCACCTACAAGTCTTCTGACTATTGTCTGATGAATTAAGACTATAGTTTACACTTGCTGACAACTTTAATGGCACTGAGGAAAAGCAGACTGGGTTTCTATCTCACGTCTTCTGTCCATTTTATTATTTTATTCTCAAAGTCACAGATAATCTATTAATCTATTAGCGTGGCTGCAAATATGATTTTTTGATAGTAGTTGTTTTAAGATTAATAATATTAGGTCTTAGATATTTCTACTAGTAGGGATGTAAAATGCAGTCATCTTTCATTGTAGGTATAAATTTTCAACCCTTTAAATTTTGGGACTTAATTTTTTTCTGCTGTCTCTCTCTAATCAGGAACTTTTTGTTAAAAAATTAAGGGTCTACGTTTAAAGAATGAGAGACAGAAAAAGTTACAGAAAATAAATGATAAATTCTAATTTATCGAAAGACATCCAGGTGAGAAACAGAAATAATTGTTAGATAAGCATATATGGCACATGATTATGATTAAGTTCCACTAATTCATATTCTGAATTACATTTCCTGCTTATTCCAGAGCATTATATCCATGCAGCAGTGGTAGGAAGCATTGATTTTTTTTTTTTTTAATGTCTATCATCTTGCTAAAGCATTGTTAACGTCAGTAAAATTTAGTAGTCATTTTCTACCATTTGCGTATGTGATACTCTATGTAGTGTTAAGAAATCAAGTCTAAGTCTAGGATATTTAGACTGATTATTTGTGATATACAAAACTTAGTTGTATAAATCCAGTAGTTGTACCTGGTCTTCGCCTATCTTTGTGTTGAAATTTTCCACCATTAATGGCTTGTCCCAAGCACAAAATCCTGAGCAGTGGGATACCAGGTGATGAAATAACACGGCGGCAGCACAGTCTGCTTTCGCACACTGTTCAGGAGGCCATGGAAATATCTGAAGGTTCTTTTTTCACTCCTGTAGTATAATTACATATTTCATCGGATACATTAACTGTAGTAGGTGTAGTCTGGGGAGTCACGGTGTGTCCAAACCCTTGATAGTGACCCATGGGTGAAGGTGGCACAGAAGAGGCAACAGAAGTTGCATCTTGCGATGATGATGATAACAAACTTGTATGTTCATTTTGATCTTGATCCTCAGGAAAAAACTTTTTCCTAGGATGTCCCATGACTGTCCTTCCTTTAAAGTAACATAAAGGTTTCCGAGTTAGCCAAGAGTTAGGTTATTTTTACCACTACAGACTTGCCATGCTAAAAATAAGCTCCCCCTCCCCGTCCCAATTTGAAGAGCCTTCCTGTGGCCCCGCTTTGAACCATCTTTTCATCTCTTAAACACACCTGACAGGAGAACTGCAATAGCCTGTCTGAATGAATGAAATGGCTGGTACTTACCAACATGCCTCACTTGTTCAGAAATATCATCCCTAATATCTGAAATATCCCACATGGCAAGGAAGGAATCAAAGCATGAGCCCTCTTCTGCTTCTTGGACATACGGTTTATACGAGAAAGTGTAGTGATGAGCAATGGCAGCAAGGAACATCTCAATACAGATAATAAAGTCCTACAACAACAACACCGACAGGAGCATCAGCCACCTTGGAGTTTGAATCTATTTTCGTAGATAAAGGAAAAGCACCACCTTTCTCTCTTCTCAAAAGTATCAAGTATCAACAGCTGGCTTTCCCCCACAGGATTATGTTCATTTTTCCATTTTCCAAAATTACTTTTGACCTCTTCCAAAACAAGACAAAAAGCCAAAAGTTTAAATTTATTTTGTACTACGCCACTAAGATTTCTTTGCAAAGTTCAGTGCATTCTCAACCCACTGCCCGAGGACTAAGAGGAGAAATGCGGAAAGAGAAACTAATTAAGAAGAACAAAACCGAGGTTCTGTTCCCGGCTCTACTACAAATCAGCGACGAGGACCAGCTTCCCTAGGGCCCCTTGCTTCCTCACGTGTGAAGGGAGGATAACAGTCGCCCCACAGCCTGCATGCTGGCAGGTTTAGGAGATAATACGTAAAAATGCTTAACAAACAGTGAAGTTCTACTGAATTCAGAGACAGCGCTACTTACCTGGAGTCCTGTGGCCACAGCTTCTACGGTTTGCCATTCCCATGTATGCTTTTCAGAAATAACGCCAACTTTTACCAACAAAGCAATAACTACTGCTTGCCTATATGTTAGGAAAAGGTAAACGCCAAATCTATATCAAGCATAAAATGAGCAGGTGTTTTAAAAATATGCCGTTTAAAAAGTTAAACCCAGTACCACCTGTGGGCTGACCACCGCCACCACCACCCTGCCTTTACCACATACTCCTGAGGACACCAGGTATCTGTAGTCTATGTATGTTTTACAGATTTACTCTTCTGGTACAGTTTCATCACATGAATTTTGATTATGTACTCTTAAAACTTACAGCCTGGCTTTTGGCTTACACTCTTTTTTTATTTTGAAATGCTGCACAAGTAATTAGATTTTAAGTTCTTCCTATACATAGACAAATGCCTAACACCTTGTACAATAGCAATTTAAAGTGAAATAAAGGACAAATACTTAAATGTTATCTACACATGTATTAATTGATTATTCAAATTATTTTAAAGAATACTTTGAAACCAGTCTTATTTGAAGTCAAGACAGGGAGTCCACACTGAGCATTTCAAGCAAACCTAGGGATCTCCCCTAGGTTAAATTTAAACAGACAATAATGAGGTAGTAGACAAGGTTTCATAGATCTGTATACAAGAATATTCACTCCAATATTGCTTGTAACGGTAAAAAAAAAAAAAAAATTAAGGAACAACCTAAACGTCAACAGGAGATTGACATTAGAAAGTGATAGCCGCACATCAGAATACTATGCGAAAATAAAAAAACCCAAGCAATAACAAAATATCCTCACTGTTACAAAGACCTGTACCTACAATACACTAACACATCACTGAGTTCTACAAGTTCTTATAGTATGAACTATTTCTTTGGAGTTTTATATATGACGTGCACCACAACGTCAATCATTTTTTTCTGGGTGGTGGGATTTCAAAGATTTTTCTCTTCCTCCTCTTTGTATTATTTGTGTATTATTAAATTTGGTGTATTTGTTTCTAGGCCCCTATCACCCACTCCTTTACTAAACTGGGACCATGTATAGTTTTGTTTTTTGTTTTAAAAAATATTTTTACTGATGAACATTGCCTCACATCATTAAATATTCTACATTATGTTTATCTCCAAACTGTAGAGTCTTCTCTTATATGAAAAGACCACAATTTATTTTAATGATTTTCTTAGTGTTGATACATTTAGTGACTCAAATTATTTCCTTATAAATGTTACAGTGACCATCTGATTATTTCTTTATGAAAAATCAAGAAGGGCTAAAAGGATGTACTTTTTAAAAGGTAAGTAGACATTTTAGTTCATCTTCTGTATTAAGACTAAAAAAATTCTCTCTAATCAACAAGTTTTATTGCTCTTTAGAAAATGAGAACATTTAAGAGAAAGCAACACTTACCAAAAAGAAACAAAAACCACCAGTTTTACACAAAGAAATTTGCCAACAGGTTGGATTGGACTTAGTTCTTCCTTCAGTACTTTGTAAAATAGCAGGAGACAATACATGGCAAACTAGAAGCAATTAAACAATTAAACTTCTTCAATAAGAACAAATATGGTATTAGAAATATTCAAGTTATAAACCAGAGACCTGGTACAGAATAAAGTTTCAGGCAACATTTTCTAGGCTTTATTATGCTTTTTTTTTCAGATTAACAAGCTTTTATAGTCTTCTGTGGATGAATATATATAATATGGAATTTCTCAGAGGAGAAACATCTTCCCTGAAAATTGTTTTAAGTATTCACTTACTGGGGCCCACAAAAAACACAATGAATAAGCGACTGCCATGAATGGAAGAAAAGGCTCTCATTCGACCAAATAAAATCATCTGTCTGCTTATAAATGACTTTTATACACAAATTATCATTCATTTTACAAGGGTTGAGCTTACTAACTAGTCTATCTTATGTAACACCGTATGCATGTTATTTGTAAGTCAACACATTAAATAAGTACTATTTCAATAAAACTGTGACCATAAAATTGGAAAGGAATCAGGGAAACAATTTTTCTTGAGGGCAGTATGTTAATCCAACTGAATTTACTTTTTAAAGATAAATGCTCAAGACATTATTAACTATTTTTAGAAATCAGTTGTAATTCGTGTAGAGTTGCACAGCAATAAACATTCTCCTAAAAGTTTATTTTCCCCATCATAAAATGCTCATTTAAAGTATTTTAGAATATGAAAGCAGTAAAGTATAAAGTTGTCCACAGGCCCACCATCCAACCATTCCTTTCCACACCTATAAGGTGGTTTTTAACAGGTATCAAGTAAATATAAAATTTTGTTGCCTGATTTTTTTCCCCCACTTAAAGTGCCCCTTTTCCACATATTTCATCAAATAACTGCCTAGTGTTTGGGCCGGTGGAAGCACCATTGTATATCTAACCAGTCCTGGTCACTAGGCTTCGGACTGTCACCAGACTTTTGCAATTACGAACAATGAGCTTTATATACAAAAATATTCAAAGCAAAAGTACTTCCGACCATTTCTTGAGGAGGCATTCCCAGAAATGGAGTTACTGGTTCCAGAGAATATGGACGTGTGGGAAAGCTTTGAATACACAGGAACTTAATTTTTATTATAAACCTCTAACACCACACATGCATACCACTGCACCGAAACTATTACTTTGCTGAAAGCATTGATTAAAAATTTTAAATAAAATGCACACTCTTAAGTTGAAGGGATCCAATAGTTAGATCTTTAGAGCATTTCAGCTTCTATAACATCATTTTAATCTTTTTAAAAATATATAGCATCATTAAAAAAACTTGGCATTCTCAGTTTTCTTTTTATTCCAAATACGAGACTTTTATACTCTCATTTTTATTCAAACCCTGTACTGCCATATGCCAATTAAATATTTTTCTTATAAATATGCCTAAGGTTTTTTTTTTTAAGGAGAGCACTGTTTTTATTTATGACATACGCACATAACCATGCGTTCGATACCAGAACGAAATGAAAACACAAGATCAATGTATAGGTTAACAGTCAGGTCAATGTATAAGTCAGCAAATAACTAACAAAGATATTGTATCTTTATGTATGTATAAAGATAAATGTTAAAGGTTCTTCAAGTTCTTCCTACAAATCAAGTTTCAGTATTAAAAAGTAACAATAAGTTTTATTTGGGAAGAAACTTCCCCTAAAAAAATTCAGAGTTATAGACACTGATTTAGTATGGCTGAAATGAATATTTACTTACCAACTGTGACATATTGTTTATTATAACCAAGTAAGTCCAAGCATTTGAAAAGGTGAAGTTCCCTTCATCATATATATGAAGCATCTCACAGATTCTAAAGCACAGTGAAAATGAGACAACTTTATGAATAACTAAATCAAAATATATTTTAAAATACAACATTGACAGTAATACTTAAATTCAGAAGTCAGTTTAAAAGATCCTGTAGATAATCACTTGATAGATTATCTAGTGATAAAGGTGGTTCAAAATTTAAAAGGAAAACATTTTTCCATAAACGTTACCATATGATTATTTCTCCAGCTTGAAGTAAATCCAAAAGACAAATACACTGAACTAGAATGGGTTAATTATTAGAGGCAAACAAATTATGCTGCCAGTTTCTCAAAAGCTTGACTGTTACAAACATATAATGCAGGCCTCCAACAACAACTGTAATTTTATCTCCCAAACTGTCTTGGAGGCAACTTCAATTATGACCCAGATCTAAGTGTTAAGTTATTTGATTACCCAATTTCTAAATAGCCAAGAAATAAAGCATGCCTTCAGAAATAAGTGAATTAGTCTTAATGCCAAGGTAAATGTCTGAAGAATTGCCAGCACAAAAGCAGAACAGAGAACTGAAGGCTTCCTTTACCTTTCTTCCCATCCCTCCTGTGAACAGAGACTGTTGGTTGTAACTAGCAGATAAAACATGCAATCTACCTGCTTTAAACTACCTGATGCTCTTAAATTTTTAGGGAATAGTTTTACTAGGTAGCTTAATGATACCCCATTTAACCTCAAGTGCTATGCCTTGACAGAATTCTTTAAAAAGAAAACTATGACTTCTTCTTTAGAATACAGTACTCATTTAGAAAATAAAACCACGCAATGACTCTGAAGTGGTTTACTTTAATGTCATGTACTAGATGTTTCTGTAAAACTGTGAACATTAATACTTGAAAAGAGTATTTTTAAAATGCTTTCTAAAAATATCTAGAGAGAGTATTATTTTGAAGAATTCTGTAGTGAATTCTATGAAAGGTTACCTTATTTGTTCTAATATAGCATGGTTTCTATATACTTTTTTTTAAATAACAGACTACATGTGTTACATACAAAACAGTTTTAACATGTTTTTCTACTCAGTTGTTTCCACTTAAGTAAGAGCATGAGGATTTAAAAAAAAATGGATAATAATATAACTTTACTTACAAAGCAAAGATTGTGGTGAATGGTCTGACAACTGTATACTGCAATACACCCAGTTTGCATCTAAACAGCAATACTCTGCCAGAGAAAAAGAACTTAGTTTTCATTTCAACTCATTTCAATTGTATCAGGTTTGTCCAAAGCCCCCAAATTAAAATCACTTTGACAAATGATGCCAGATTTATATTTAATCCTTTTAATTCAGTCATTCTAAATGGCTATTGGGAAAGAATGTGGATGCCCGCAAACAAGTTATTTAAATATATTTTAAAAATTATGTAACAATTGCATCTTCTGAAAGATCCCCCTCTCTGTGCACAGTCTCAAGTTCCTGAACAGCACAGCAGAGAACAAGAATGAAGAGCAGAAGTGGGTGCCTGTGTGGTTCTGGAAGAAAACTGAGCAGCAAATAAATTACGTGTAGGCTTGTGTATATGAAAGCATATTTAGAAAGTATTATTTACATTTAGGATTCAGTTTCTTTTCAAGCTTGGTGTTTCTGTATCATTCCAGAGATTATCATTGACTGTGAGCTCTGAATCAGATACTCTGAAAGGACAAAACAAAGATCCTGCATAGAACAGTTTTTATTCTATCACTGACGTCACTGAATGTACAGGGAAATTCACGAGGAGTAACAAACAAAACAAAAAAGTTCCAAAACATCAACTACCAAAAAAAGGCTCTCTACCCGACAGCCTTGTGCAAGTAAGCCTTTAAAAAACCAAGTTGCTCTGAGGGCAAAAGTTTATGTAGCACTCCTTTATCAATCTTATGTATTACAAATCCTCTAATTTAAGAATTACATCGATACTGAGACGAAGGTGAGTCTGACATACAGACTGTGAGGTACTAGGCCACTAGGACTGAACAAAAAGCTGCTGGTGTTCTGTGTGCTGAGAGCCTTCCCGGTGCTGAGGTGGTTCACTCCCACCCCTCTGCGGAGGTGGGCCCGGGGCTGCACTTGGGCTTCTTGCAAGACCTTGTGATCAGAATGTCTGGGCCGTACATGCTGTGCTTCCGGCCCCACACTCCTTACAAAGTAAGTTAAGTGGGAGTTGGGTTACACCTACAGTGTTCCACGAGCTGATCATCAAATCAAACCTGAGACCACCATGGTGACTATGCAAATGTATTAAATAGTCAGATACCTTTGAAAGCTGTGGAGAATTAATGAACTGGAAGGTGTAGCTGAAGAAATTGCCCAGAATAGGAAAGGCTGAGACAAAGAGACAAATGTGAAAGGGAGTTACAAAGAACAGAACAGAATCAGAAGGTCTAACATGCACTCAAAGTTATAGAAGAGGACTGAAAGGCAAAATTGGAAGAGATTATGGCTGAGAACTTTTCAGAACTGATTGAAGACACGAATCTACAGACTGAGGCACACTGTAAATTAAGCAGGACTGAAAACAAAAACAAAATAACTTACATACTCCAGAGTGAAACTGCAAAACATCAAAGACAGGGAGGGTCTTAAAAATGCAGTTGGACATGTCACCTATAGTGGAACGATGATTAGCTTGACAGCAGAGGCTTAACAGTAACAACTGAAGCCAGAATTAGGTGGGATAAAATCTTCAAAATGTTTAGAAAACATTCCTGTCAGCAGAGAATTACATCCAGCAAAACTATCTTTCAAGAATGAGGGCAAAATAAAGACACTTTGGATAAGTATATGTGAGAAAATTTGCTACTGAGACACTGACACTAAAGGAACTTTTAAGTGAGCCAATGGAATAAACTGAAATTGCATTCCTACCTCACACAACATATGAAGAAAAAAGCAATGTGTTTATTAGTCTTAATGGAAAAAATATGAAATGTTTAGAAGAAAAGCACAGGAGAATGTTTCTGTAATCCTGTGGCTGGGAAGAATTTTTGGAGTAAGACACAAAAATACTTACTATAAATAAGACTGATAAATTCAACTATATTAAAATTCACTACAGCTTCCATTTATCAAAAGATATAATAAAAGTGCCAAAGCATGCCAAAAACTGGAAAAAGATATTTTTAAACACACATTAAATAAGGAATTAGTATCTAAACATATAAGGATCCCCTACAGACAGACAGCCCATTAAAAGAATCAGAAACAGCAACAATCATTCCCTAGAAAAGGAAATACAAATGGCTAAAAAACATTTTAAAAGTTGCTCAATCTCACTACTAATCAGGGAAATCAAGAGCACAGTGATACTTTGCACCCTCCTGACAGGCAAACATAAAGAGGTATGGGTATTTCTAAATATAGGTGAAGTTGTGGTTCAATGAGAAATATTTTCTACTGTTAATGGGAGAGTAATCTGGTACTGCCACTCTAGCAAACAATTTATCACAAACACAGTTGAACAAAACCTAAAAACCTAGCATATCTATTCCAAGGTATATGCCCTAGAGCAATTTTTTTCAAATTGTGTCAAATTCAACATGGGCTGTGACACAAATTTTAAAAACAAGAGGGAAGAAGGGAATACGTAATAAGAGTTAGTACTGTTTCATGAGAAAATCTCTTTCATAACTGTATTAAATCACTAGGTAAAATAAATGGTCCCCACCTCTCATACACAACATGTAACGTTCATTCAAAGAAAACTCATTGTGCTCACTGCTTATGTTACAGAAACCAGAACATAAAAAGCAGATTTAGTTTTATCATCGAAGGATAGGAAACTCCCCATGGCATTTGCATCTTAAACCAAAGCATCACACTGAATTATCCTAAACAGCAACAGCCTGATTAAACATCAGATATGTAACACCAGTCTTCCAGGAGAAGGAAACTAACTGGTAACCTACAATGTACTTACATACAAGAGAATGAGAAGTTTTATCGTTACTAAAACCATACCCCCAAACCGCATGATTCTGGTAAATGCTTAATGTCTTCAAAGGACAGAAAACCTGGGTTATAGTTACGGATGCACTGCTGATAGCGTTCAGGCAGCAGCTATCTCAGGAAAAAAAAAGAAACCAACACAGAGATTAACAAGAATAAATGTTAACTGCTTGTGTGGTTAGGAACAAATGAATTGCACAAGCACAGACAAGGGGAATTTTGACCTTTAGCATCTTTTGAAAAAGGTTTTGGGTTTTAGTTGACCATTGCAAACTGTGATGAGCCAGCCTGAAAAGGCAGCTTGAGCCTCATCTCAGGTTCTGTGTTAATAGAAGAGTCCTGATCAAAGCCACGGCATCATCAGCATTATCACATTTACTGGATCACTGCACTCTCCTCCATCCAAGCCCACTTCCAATTCAGTCTACAAAGAGCCCAGTAAGCTTAGAAAATGAAACTTGGATACCAGTCTCCGCTTAACATCCTACAATGGCTTCTCACTTGACAATCTCTCTCCTTGACCAAACTTCAGACAGGGTTCCTCTGACATTTCTTTTCAACTCGGCATCATCTTTAGGCCCTGTCCTTGGCCTGTGAAGTCAGTCTGAGTAAAAAATCCTGCTAAGACATCCATCACCACCCGTCCCCCCACCCCAGTATCTGATTACTCTTGATATCCTACTTGACCAAGCTTCTCATTCCTCTCTTGATGTTCACTTGGCCTGCCTTTACCAAGATTCTTGTTATTTCATGGGCCATGAATCCCCCTACCCTTGATGTTTCCTCTTGTAATTTTCTGTCCAGTGACCGTCTCAATCTCTTTGGCTATGAATGTCTGTTTGTTCTTGTGTTTGGAGCTGAGCAGAGTATCCCTCCCCCCATCCCCAACCTACATGAGTTTTTCCTTGCTATCCTCATTCATAAACTCTTGTTCTTTTTCCTTCATAGTGTTTACTGAAATGAGTAACTATTTGTCTTCATTTAATTCCTAATCCTCTTAACCAAACTGTAGCTACCTGTTGTATGTACTAGGATATATCTACATGCTGGAACATACTAGGTGCTCAATACATATTTGTCAAGTAACACCTTGGGAGCTTATTATTTCAAACAGTCAGGGAGCTCCCTGTCCTTACAGGGGTGTAAGGAGAGACACTTATATTTAGTGCTGATGTTGTACAAATGGTTCTGTGTTGAATGGAAGACAATGTAGCTATTCCTAGGTCATATATCTAAACTAATTACTCCAAATCATTCCGGTTACCTTGGCTTGCAACTCTCACCTACATCCCCATCACTAACCAAGTCCTATTGATTCTCCAGTTTCATTCTCTTACTCTTTCCTTTCTGTTCCAATTTCATACGCCTCCTCTTCAGCTTATTTTACAAATCAACTACTATAATACCCTCCTAATTTACTTCCCCTTTGGATTCTTCTCCTAATGCATCCTGTATAGTACTGCAAGATTAATCTTTCTAAAATGCTGTCTTCAAATGTTACCTTGCCGACAAATATCCAATGGTTCATTCGTACAGTAAATGCAATGCTAGCTTCAAGTAAAGTTTTCAGGCTTTATTTTTTATTTTCCTTTACTGTCCTAAATGGATGTATAATAAGGCTAACTAATTTATATATTACTAGGATAAAGATTGCTGTTTGTTGTTTTTATTTCATATCAAATGCTACTTCCCCACCTAGACTATTTTCTTGGGTCTTAGATCTGATTTTGCCATCGACTAACTATGTGATCTTGAGTTAGTTAATCTCTACAGACTCTGGCTCCCAATTTTAAAAGGATGTTGATTAAGTGATTTCCAAAGTCTCCCTCCCCCATTAATATTTTAAGTTTTCTACTTAGGATGAACAATGTAAAAGAGACTAACTTACATGTGTATATTACAAAAATGTGTTTTGTTAGTCTTCAAACTTGAATATGAACTACATAAGGGTAGGGACTCTCTTACACTTTTTGTCCTGCATAAGTACTTAACACACTGCTTTGCAGAAAAATGATATTTCAATCTGCTTAAGCAATCCCAAACATAAGAGAATTAAAACCAAACATACTTACTCTCCCATAGTCCATGGTGGACAGCAACATAAAGGAGGTAAATGTTTCTGCTGATCTTTGGCTTCAAGGATTAATACCAGATTTGGATACCGGTTAGTTAGATAATTGGTAAGGAATCCCATAAAGTTGTAAATGACATAAGCTTCATAACATTCTCTGCAGGTATCCACGTATATTGCAATGCTGGGATATTTCAAAGCTATCCACTATGAAAAAGCACAGATGTTAAAAATAGTTGCAGCTACAATAAAATGAATTACCATTCCAACGCATGGTACTCACAGTAAGTCTACTTTTAAACTTAAGGTGTCTTGTCACATACTTGCATCAACTTTTCTAAATTTTTTCATTATGAGGACTACCAGATAATCTGTGAAAGGAGTTTTTAAAAGCAATAAACACCTTGGATATTGGTAAACAAAAACATTTGTGTTGGGGGTAAATAATGAACATGAAGAGAGAAGTTGAATTATGTACTTGAGTTTTTAAATATAATCCGAAATTTTTACTGACACGATCATAGAAAATGATGTTAAGGACATTTTCTTTATATTTAATCAAATTAAAGCAGTTATCTGTAACAGCTGCATGTATTAGAATCCATTAGGGAAGGTTTCTGTTTTGGTCCAAATAAAAGATATAATAAATAAAAAGGATGACAATGTAATTTTAAATATTACATCTTTAAAGGACTAAGAACTACAAATCCGAGATTTTAAAAGATTAAGCAAAGAAAACAAACTATAGATTTTTAAAACATCTGCCTTTTCTATGGTTATACTTTATCTTCTTAATTAACATTAAATACAAGCGAACCTTTTCACTTACTAATCTAACTCCTTATTGCCAAATAACATATTTTTATTACCTTAATTATGTTAGTATCATCAAACAAGTTCTTAGTTAATGAGATAAAATGAAGCATACTTACACTATCTAAACTGTATATGGGTACCATCCAAAGAATCCTATTTGGAAAGCAAAACATAAATTTAAAACATTTTACATCATATTTATGAGACAAGCCAACACAACACTAGTAGAATCAAAACAAATGAAATTTTACCTTATTATTGGTTTCTGTAGTTCCGGCTGTGTATAATGTACTAAATGTTGCAATATTCCCCAAAGCGATATAGGTATAGTCAACAGCAAAAAGATTAAAGCAATAAACCAAGCCTTGGTGTGTATTCCAACCTTAAGAAGCAAAGAACATATCAGTATAAATTCCCTGCTATTAAAACTAAAGAGCTAAGTAAAATATTCATATTTAAAAATTTTAATTTATTTTATTATTAATGAGGCTCAATATTTTCCAAGTGACTAGTGGCATTTTTATTTCTCTTCAATAAACAGCCTATTTTCTGCTTTTGCGGAAGGAAGGGGAGGGTTCTTCCTCATGAGGCTGAACACTTCCTCATGGGGCCTTCTGTAACAGGGCTCTACGCATTAAAAACATTAACATCATGTCATTTCTCCCTAGCTTGTTATTTGCCTTTTATATTTGATTATTGTAACTGAAGATGTACAGAAGTTTTAAAGCTTTCTGCAAGTCAAATCTAAAAATCTTTTTCTGGCTTATTCCTTTGCTTTTACATCTAGATCAAAATCTACCAACATTTTCTGTCAATTTTATTGTTGCCCAGCATGTCAGTAGAACAGAGTGAGTGCTGACTATTTGCCTGATACTTGGCTAAGCTCTTTACACACATCCTGTCTTTTAACCCTCCCACTTGCTAAGCACTGCCACAAACACCGTCCAGGGGAACCGTGCTGATACGTGATGCCCCTCTTTCACACAACAGTATCAACTTGGGACACTACATTTTTTTTAAGATTTAAGATTTAATTTCAACTTCTGATCAATATTTTATCCTTTAAAAGCTCAATTCCTAAAAATACACTTTGAACAACCCCATCCTAAGGGTTGAAGTAATCTACTTGTTTTCTGGTAAAAACAAATTTAGCTGAACCTCTGTTCTACCTGAGGGGCCACTGGGAATGAATTTTATATTAATTTGTACTCCTGCCTTGAAGAATGTGAATATTTTTGATTATAAAAAAATGCAAATACCGACTTTTTAAAGTAAAACGGCGGGCATTTTTAGTACCTGGTAACATAAAGACCTGTTGTATTTCTTTACATTCACAATAAAATGTCATAAAAGGAAAGTATTTTTAGTACTTGAGTTCGAACAGTTCATGAGAATAGAACTGATGCCTGCAACTTGTAGTATTTACTGTTATGCACAAGATTTTTTCTCCATCAAGGGTCAAGGATTAAAGAAGTAGAAAACAAAAGTATAGAGAACCAATGTATTTTTACAATGAATTTCTATATTAAACTGTATGGAAAACGTGAAAGCAGATATAGAAGTCTTGCTGACTGCTGGAGGTTAATCAAAGCAGTAAGTCAAAAGCAAATACGTAGAGGTGAAGGTTCTGAAAAGAATGTCTGAGCAATAATTTTCCAGAGATTTTTGCTTGGCACAATTTCATTTAAGATTCAGGGCTCATTTTAATGATGATGCCATCATCATCAGATACTCCAGGCCTTCTTTATTATGTGATCATTAAGAACAGTCTTGCCAAGCAAGTTTAATGCCCACATTTGTTTGTGTGGTTGCCTTAGTGCCAAAAGGTAGAACCTGGGGGTAGCCTTAAGAGAAACAGGATGTGGTTGTGACTAATGAAGGCCAAGCATCCTCAGTGTGCTGTAAGGAAGAAAACTCTTTTTCAAACGATCATGAAACAAGTGACTGGAAAATTGAGTCATTTCAGTAGCGTGATTCCAAATGTAAAAAATCTTGCATCATGGAATTAGTACCAGTTTTATACTGCAATTTAGTTTCAGAAAAACATCATCTGTTCGCCTTAATGCCACTAATTTGAATCACTGGTTTTATAACTGTTTTGATTTTTGAGCTATATAAAAAGCTATATGCATAAGAAATGTAACCTATTTTATGTGTGTACATATTTAGGTGACATGATAATAAAATAACTCTAGAATCTACAGATATTATTAATATGATTATTACATTTATTTTAATTTAATTTACATTTACCTCTAAATAAATTATTCACACTGGAGACACATTGATAGGAGGATCTCATTAATAGTAAACTTATCAGCCACGAGTAGGGTTTTTTTTTTTTGCTCACAAAACAAGGACATAAGTAGTGTAGCTTTTTTTCCTAAGGTAACTTGAAGAAAGTAGAGAGGAAGGAAAAAAACCATTAAAGACAAGCATCCAGGAGTGAGTTGATGACTGCAGAGCAACGTGACATCACAGGTGCACTGAGCTTCTGTGACCTCTATTATATGTGCTCAGTCGAGTAAGAGAGGGAGAGACATGGTTTGAACAGCGCACATGGTCATCATGCCTCTCCAGCGGTGAGTATGTGCCCCACCATGGGCATGGGACGGGCTATCCAAACCTGCAGCTTTCTGCAACCTCAGTTCCCCCTGTGTGAGCACCGTGATTCTAGTGCTTAAAAAACAAGGACTTTTCATATAAAACTGTCCCTTAATATGCCAACTACTTTTTCTAGTGCTCGATCAGAGGCACATAACTCTGCTTTAGGTGTTCCATTGAAAACCTAATCCCAACTAAAATGCTGTTCCACAAGAAACAGCCACTCTGCAATAACAGTGATGATATTTTAAAAACAACAGTGGTAATTAGGGCTTACTGAGCACCTACCATGTGCCGGGCACAGTGTTAAGCATTTTAAAGACATAAACTCATCTAGGGAATAATGATGAAAAGGATGATAAGGAGATTGTATATTAAGCACTTAGTGCAGTGGTACTTCTGCCACTTACGTGTCTCAGTTTTCCCATCTGTAAAATAGGGATAACTCCTATGCTTCAGGGTTTTAAAGAAGATTATATTAAATTATACCTTATCCTAGGGACACGCACTAGTTAGTGTCTCTAACACCTTAACAACAACAACAAAAAAACACAACAGGGGGGAAAAGAAACCCTGCCTTAATCCACACTCCTCTATGTACTGTGCCATTCATTTTTCAGGCCCTCTGAGTCAAAATACTCAAAACAAACAAAATGAACAAACACTTGTCTTCATATCCTGATACCAATTCTTCACTCCACATTGATTCTTCAAACAACACCCTCTAAGCTCCGGCCCTGACACCTCCATTGAAACCAGGATGAGTACCGCAAATGACCCTCCTATCTTGTGAAAATCAATGGGCGTCTCAGCGGCACCAGACTGTTCACTACTTTGTCCTTCTTGAGACAATCTCCTGTTCTGGCTCCCAGCACTCTATTCCCCACTGGCTGCTGCTTTTTTTTTTTTAAGTTCTTATTCTTCTACTTGACCTCTAAATGCTGGTGCTAGGTCCTCGGCCTTTTCTTCTTCCCCTTCATAATCTCATCCATCCTTATGCCTTTAAACACCATCTCTGTTCTGACAACTCTTACATTTGTATCTGCAGCTCGAACCTTTCCAAGCCCTCGACTTGCATGTCCAACTGCACAGCTGACATGCCCACACGATATACCTAAGTGTCCAAAGCAGAACTCAAATTCTCTCAGACCAGTCCCTGTCCATCGATTTTCCATCTTGGTCACTAGCATCACCATTTACCCTGTGGTTTAGACATAAACCTCAGAGTGCTTCTTGATTTCTCCCTTTCTCTCACTGCCTCTCCTCCCCAGTCCAATCCACCATCAGGTCCTGTTTCTTCACTTCCAATGATACTTAAAATTCAGTTTTCCATCTCTATATCTGCCATTCTGACTTGCACCAAAAGTCATTATAGCCCAGGCACCTAATACCTCTGAACTACTTTAAGGAGCCTTCCAGCATCTCTTCACGTCCACTTAATTTTCCATAGGCTGCTAGAGTTGTCTTTTGAAGATGTGTAATAATGTTGCCCTGCCTGTTCATTTCTTAGATCTTTTCGAGTTTCCTCCATAGCATTTTATATAATTTTATTTTATTGATTTGTTTTTGTTGGCTGTGTTCATCTCCACCACTAAGTTCCATGAAAGTAGGTGCAGTTTCTCCAACTATATTAGAATACAAGCCTGATTTATCATTGGGACTCAAATAATCATTTATTAAGTATCAGACACTTGGGCAGAAGGAGAAAATAAAGTTAAGTAAAATAAAGGGTGAAAGTATAGCTCAAGTGGTAGAGCGCATGCTTAGCATGCATGAGGTCCTGGTTTCAATCCCCAGTACCGCCTCCAAAATAAATAAATAAATAAACCTAACTACCCCACCCCTCAAAATAAATAAATTCTATAAAATAAGTAAAATATATATTGTGTTAGATCCTGGTGTGGTAGAGGCCCAGGAACTGAGGAGAGAAAGTCCAAGGAAGATGGGAGGTGGGGTGCTGGGGTGGGTATCAAGTCATGCTGGGCCTTGATGCCATAGTCAGGGATACTGGCTTTTAATCTGGGACTAGGAGTGAATGGAAAATTTTGAGAAAAGGCCACACATAATGTGACTTAATGTTTTAACTGGATACTTTGGCAGGTGTGTTCAGAAGAGCCCTGGCAATACATGATGAGAATTTGGCTCAGGGTGTTAGCAGGGGAGACTGCAGACCTGAAATTTTTCCTTAAAACCTGGTACTTAAAAAGTACAGTTGAAATCAATAATGAAATAAAATTCACATCTTAAGGCTAGACAAGAAAAATTTACACAAAAAACTTTCTCAGTCCTGTGGCCTCCCCCGTCCCCTCTAGTGTGCACTGTGCACCTGCATCATAACCAGACCTCCCCATTGGCAGGAGTACCTGTGCAACCATAAACATCACTTTTTCTCCTTCTGGCACCAGTCATGTAATGCCTTAGAAGATAACATCCTTTCTCAATTGTGAAAGGGTCACGATGACCCATCACTTGCCTTCTAAGTACAGACATCTTTGGTGAATTTTATGCACAATGCCAATATATCGTTTCCTTTAAAGACAGTGACTGGTGCTGATCAGAGTGGTCAGATGACCTGGGGAGATACTGGCCTGCACCTAAAGGAAGTTCTTAGCTCAAATACTTATGACCTTATTAATGTTACTAACTATATTACTTGTATTCTGTCTGTTTTACAAGATTATTGTTTTTTGCATTACCAAATGTGTGACTGAGCCTCAGATAAAATTAATGATTAGGTGACTTGAAATGATTGACCAAATATACAGTTCTATAAGATTGTAATAGCATGACTCTAGATCTGGGAAGAAGCAATAAGACGGAACCATTTCCTGGACCATAAAAGACTAGTGAGACAGGTGGTCCAGAGGCTTTTGGCTACTGTTAAGAGGGCCTCGTCCAGTAATAGCACATTGAGTGGCTTATCAGCAAAATCCTCACCTGGCTGTGGGACAAACTTGTCATGAAATGCCTCCCAAACCTTGGGAGAAATTAAGACTGAAAGGGAAGGGACTGTAAAATAAAGAATGCTGCCCACCATCCAGTTCTACAAGAATCAAGTCATTAGCCACTGTGGTCACTGAAAAGCTGACCTACACTACACCCTGAAAGGAACTGGGGGTAAGATCCAGATGAGGCACTCTGTGCTCTGGGAAAACTGGCAGAATGGGCCTTCAAATTGGTATTTTCAGGAGAAACTTTAATGAACCTGGATTCTTGCATCGTCACATACTTAGGTAAGCACTAAAGCTATTAAGATGTCTGTTCCTCGTGAGTAGCAGCAACCATCTACTGAGATGTGTGCTTGACTGCATGTATTGCTGCCCCGCACCAAAATCACACATATGCTGGCTTCCCCCTTTATCTCTTCGGAACAGTTCTTAGAGCTCTCGGAGAGGCTGTCTCCTGGGCTATAAGCCTCAGTTTGGCTCAAATAAACTTTTCCATTTCTTCCTCAGATTGACTATTAATTTTTTCCATTGACACTAACACCTAAGAGAAGTCTCAAGATAGGTTATTATACATATTATTAATCTTAAAAGTAGTTTCTATACTTCAAAGTAAGAAATACTCCAAAGAAATCCCTATTTGTATTAAGATATCTATACTTGAATTTTGTTAGACAAATTATGGCAATAACTTAAATATCTAATAAATGGGAAACGATGCAGTGTAATGTTACATAACATTAAAAACAACTACATGGACTATGTTAGTATGGGAAAGTCAACAAAAAATACTTAAGTGAACATACAGAAAACAAACATATTAAATACATTTCATTTAATTGTATAAAAATCATTTCCACATAAAAAGCCTAAAAAAACCCCATGGTCTTGTCATAACTCATGTGAAATAGTTGTTTCTAAGTAAAAATACGCCAGGTTCTTATTAACTTCAAACTTAAAGTTTACTACAATTTTTATAAAGCACTTAGTTAAGTATTTACCTGGGGCGGGGAGGTCTTTCAGCTTTTACTACTTTACTGATATCATAATAAGAATGACATCAAAAAATATACAAAGGACTTTTTGCAAAACTTTGTTGGTTAAGAGTTAATTGCTAAAGTAAAAACAAACAACAAAGTTAAACCAACTCGCGTCCTTTTAATCCAGGAAGCTAGTTAAATGCTAATAAAATTCAACACCTGGTCTTTAAAGTGGATCTAGTTAAGTCTAATATTTGAATAGATCAGATTTCAGGAATAAAGTTACCTTACTTTCAGGGAATTGATAAATGCTTGCAAACAGTGCCCTCCGAAGACGCTACCTTAATATATCCTATTTTCTCGGCCCTTCCTCCACCCGTAGAAAGCTCTGAAAAACTGTGAACAACCAGAAACAACAGGTTTATGTCCTAAGACTGGGTTCATTACATGACGTGGTTTTCAGGATATCAAGTCTGGAGCGTCCGGGCAAAAATAGGATCCCTTAGATGGGGCGGACGGTAGAAGAAAGGATAGAGGCGGATGGTGAGGGACCCTCTTACCTCCAGTTTCTGTAATTTCCACATGCACAGGGGAACGGCAACCACTATGGACACCAGGTAGATGACCACCGCTAAAGGTCGAATCCACTGTCTCCAGTTCCTCCAGGTGCAAGTGCAAGGCATGTTTTCGCATAAATCAGCTCCGAGTAGCGAGGGAAGAGAGCTCAAAGGAGACTGTTACGGGAACCCCTGTTCTTTGGCTGTTCTGTCGACTCGCATACTACGGAAAAACAGCCGTTGGGTGACTTATTCAGCAGCTCGAACCGTCTCCTTGGCCCACGCTGTGCATTCTGCTTCTGCTGCTGCTGCTGCTGCTGCTGCCGCTGCCGTTGCCGCTGCTGCCGTCACAAATGCGGCCGCTCAAGATGCTACCGGGGAGCAGTGCGGGCAGCATTCTTTCCTCTCTACCGTGCATCCACCCAGTTCTTCCGCGGTGGGATCCCCGGCAGAGCTGCTCCCCTCACCCCGGGATCGCTCGGAGCTCCCCCTGCAGCATGGCCTCGACGGGAGCGGCACAGAGCCGGACCGGCCTGTAAGGACCCTGCACACAGCTCGGTTCTGCCCCGCGGCTGCCTGCCCGCTCACTCTTTTCTTGGGCGGTAGAGCTTCCTTCCTCCCCAGTTCGCAGGCGTTTCCTTGCCGGATTCTGCTGATAGATAAGGGGCGATAACTCAAACCCGCTGGCCCCAGGATGTCTTCACTCGTTCGTACCGGACATTCCCCCAAGGCGGAATCCAAGGCCAAACCAGGGCTTCCGCTTCCGCCCCCTGCTTAATGAGGTTGGTGATTCGTCGACAGCGCCAAGCTAGGCCCACCTCATCCGGTTCATCCCGTACTCTCTGATTGGTCATTTGAAGGGGGTGGGGTTGTAGGGATGCGTATTTACGTTACAAGGTTGGAAGCAGAGGAGGTTCGGGGAAGTTGTGGAATCTCTGTCGGGTGGATCAGTGGCCCATGAGGATTCTGCAAGCTGTACAGAGCGTTTGAGAACACTTGAGGAACCCCTACTCCATTGTTCTGCTGACTATATTCCAGCTTTAAGAAAGCCTGGGTAAGAGGCCATTACCTTAGAGCTGAGCCTTTTCTGCACAAAAGGGCCCCCATTCTCTCTGGGAGTGGTTAGGGAAGTCAGCTCGAATAAGAAGACAGAAAGAAATGGGAAACGTTTGCCTAGTTTTGTGTCAGTTGCTGGAAGGTAAGGATAGAGCCACTTGGTTATTTTGGGATCCTGCGGAAAGACCATTCTAGGCATAGATTAATTTTAGAAGACACTGCAAATACTGAATATCCTTTACGCATGTGGAACTTGTTACAAACTCGCATACATTAAAGTTTTAAAAGGTTGACATTATAGCTGACAAATTTAATGTGCTTAAAGCTTTTAACTAAACCTATGGGGCAAATAAATGGTAAATGGGATCTTAAAGCCTTTCTAAACCAATAGAACAAACAAATCTCTACTTCTCAATTAGACACACAAATGTGTTCTATATGTGTCGTTTTCTGAAAGTCAGACACTGCACAGTGCTCTTTACCTATATTATATCAGTTGATCTGCATAAAAATCCCAGAAGGTAGGCAGTTTTTGATGTTACAGATGAAAAAAGAGATTCAAATGGTTAAGTAATTTGCAAAGCTCATTGAGCTAGTTAGTGGTGGTGCTGGGATTCTAACCTTGGTCTCTGACTCCTGAGGCGCTGCTAAACATTTAACCTATCAGCACCTGCCAACTGAGAATTCCTGACTGATGACTGTATGTGAACTAGAAGGCCTGCAGTATTGACTACGCCCAGCCTAGGGAATGTTGTCTGCCCCATTGTCATCTGTCCTAGCCAAAGTCTGGAGCTTGATAACACCTCCATTTTACAGCCTGGTCTCTTTTTATACAAACTGCTTCCTTAAAGGGACATAGGCTTTTTGTTTGTTCTTCATAAGCTAACCTACAAAATTGACATAGTTGTTTTTAATTTCCTGATCATTAAATCAGTGCATACTCCATTGTCAAATTTCAGAAAAGAGGAGAATAAACAAGAGAAAACCCTTACTCTACAACCAAGTATAACCATTACTTACTTTTTGATACACAATATAGTTTTCCTTGGGTATGCTGGATACATAGTCTCTGTGCTTTCAGTCACAGTCATTGACATCTGTAATAGTCTTCCCCATTCTTTCTCATGGGCAAATGTTTTTTACGTAATTTGTGAAACTTTCCTTGAGTTTTTTTCGCCCTATATCCTTAGTAGCACTAATGAGTTATAATCATTTACGTATTTGTCTGCCTTTTAGATTGAGTTCCTAGGAGCAAGCTAAAGCTCTAGAACTATAAAAATAAATAGAATAAAGCAAGAGAGGGACGAGACCAGAATGTCACTTGCATAGGTAATTTCCCACACCAGTTTGTGAACCAGGGTTCATCCATGGTGAACTTTTCTGCAGATCAGCAGAGAAATGAGAAAGAAAGAAAAAATATATTTAGTGAATTTTCCATTTAGTCAAACTTATTCATTCTAAAGGAGTATGCTTTATTTTGAAGTTATCCATTCTGTTTTTTTTTAATGTGATAGTTATAGAGTAGTTGTTTTCTAAATGTTCTTACTTTGGAGAATGAAAGGTTGGTAACTTTGTTTCTATTTAGTCTATTTCCAAAATTGTTCTTGGTCCATGAAATCCTAAAGTCTGGTAATCACTGAGTCAGGGAATGGCTGATTTCAGCAACCATAATGTTGGCTTGATCCTAATCCACTTGCTTTTCTTGCTATAGGTATTCTCTGTATTCTTTCTGGATATGACTTAGCCTAAGCCTGAGGGTGGATCTGAGCTTGATAGTGTTTGAAAAATAACAAGTGATTATAACCAGTAGATGATACTAGGGTCAAAGTCAAGCCAGTCATTCTTAGTCATTAGTCATTCTTGATGCAGTTTGGATTAGTCTGCCTTAAAATAATAGGTTAACAAAATTCACTTTGAGGGATTCTGCGAAGCGGGCACCCCTTGGCATGTATTGCCATATCTCTCTATGTAAATGTGTCTGTGGTGGTTTTAAAACATGGCTGCAACTTCTGTACTCTTCCCATAAACATATGGACTCTGTGTCCCCTCCCCTTAAATCTGGGTTGGGGTGACTGATTTGACTATTAGAGTATAGTGATCATAATCACCATATGACTGCAGAGGCTAGGTCATAAAAGGCCAGGCAACTTCACCTTGTCTGTTGGAACACTTGCTTGTGGAACTGTCAGCCATCAGGTTGAGTTTAGGCAGACATCAGAGAAAGCACAAAAAATCCCATTGGGTTCGTGGAAAACTTCCAGAAGAAGGCTGATATAGGGCTTCCGTATCACAGAGAGTTGTTCAGTTGCCAAAGATTGGGCACCAGTATACCAATAGCCTTGGGAACTTTGGAAGAGAATGTGAAAGTCATAAAAGGCATACTAGAAGAGTTAATCTAGTTTTTGACAAACTAGGTTTACCTGCTAGACCAAAAAGTCCTTTAGATCCTAGGAAGGATGGAGAGTCCCTGTCATACTTGTATGTTGCCTCTGAGTGATGGTTCAGAAGGCTCAAAATAGTCATCCTCAGATGATAAGAGGACACATGTGTGATGATACCAACCCTGAAACATTTAACCAATTGTGGACTGTTGAAGAACAGAAAAAGTTTGAACAACTGCTCCTGGAATACCCTCCTGAAGGAGTAGAATCTTGATGCTGGCAGAACGTAGCTGATGAACTGGGCAGTAGGACAGCAGGACAGGTTGCCAGCAAGTGCAGAAGTATTTCATGAAACTAAAGCTGGCATTCCAGTCCCAGGCAGAACACCAAACTTATATATATATATACTCCAAAAAGTCTTCAACAAGCACGTGACAGCACCCCCTTAATAAGCCTCTTTAAACATTCCACTTTGATGACTTCCCAGGAACCATCAGTCTATATGGATGAAGATGAAGACCGATCCTGTTTTCATAGCCACATGAACAGTGCTATTGAGGAGGCATCAGATAGAGTATTCCTATTATGTATAGGAATTTACCTGAATATAAGGAACAGTTTAAAAAGTTAAAGAAACAAACTTTAGCAAATGCAAGCTGAAAGTGGATTTGTGTACCATGTGGGCTTCAAGTGTGATAACTGAGGCATAGAACCTATCCAGGCAGGGTGTTCAGTGGCACTGCCAGGATTGTCCTCCAGGAATGCCTTTGGATTTCTGTGGTTCTTGTTCAGACCGCCTTCATAAAACAGATATTCACAAGGACGATCACCAACTAGAACCTGTTTGTAGGTCAGAGACATTCTTAGAGTCTACTGTGTGTCCCAGGGCATCACTTATAATTACTTTGACCCAAACTGCTTTCTGGCAAACAGATGACATGGTCGAGAACATCATATACCAGTCCTCTTCAACACATAGCAATGGTATCATTGTGAATTATGTGCACAGTTTGGGAAGATTCTCTGCTTTCCTTGAAATGATGCTCAATGACAGCACGATGGCTTCCTGAGTGTTCTCGTCAAGTCCAGCTCCGCACCATCAAGGCTCTAGATAATTTTTCAGTAGCTGAACATTCCTGGTGAGCAAAGGATTTCCCTGGTGAGTTTCTCACCACCACCTTAAAGCCTTTTAGGTGGTGACCTTAAATGGGTGAGATGGAAATGAGAGCACACATTAAAGAGAGAGCAAATTACAATGGTTTCAAAGAACCTGGTCTTAAAGATGCTGATGAGAAGACAAAGTACTTATATTAAAACAGTTTGGTAGTTTTCAGTTTTATGAAAATAGTTTTCAGCACAGAAACTGACTTCTTTTGACAAAGTTTTAACCAATGACGGTGTTTGCTTCTAGGACATGTACACTTTAAAAGATCTCACTGTCCCCAGTGGTGGCCACTGGTGGCCTTCAGTAAATTGGAGCTGCTTAACCTTGATGTCTAATTTTTTTAACCGCAATGAACTGTCCTTATTACACCAGCGAAGCACTGTAGGAGGCAACTGTGGTATTCTTCCTTAACCAGCTCATAGCGTGTGAATGCTATAAAATTGTCACTCAGAGGTTTTTTAAAATGTAATGTTATGCAAGATGATCATGTGATGTGTACAAACCATGGTAAAAGTGCCAGTGGTGGTCAATATGAAGATCTGTTTAACATATTCATGTTGAAATAAAAATGAGTTACAGTTTAAAAAAGTATTTTCTGTCATTTTGTTCATTTTGTTTATGGGTCTTATGATTTAGAACCAACTATGGCCTGCAATAACCCAGTCGTGGTCTGCAGTCTGTTTCTGCATGGCCCATGGGCTAAAAACAGTTTTTGCATTTCCTTTTTCATCATGGTAAAATACATGCAACATAAAAGTTACCATTTTAACCGTCTTTAAGCACACAATTCAGTGGCATTAAATATATTCACATTATTGTGCCACTATCACTGCTGTCCATCTCTGGAACTTTTTCATTATCCCAGGCTGAAACTCGGTACTCGTGAAACACTAACTCTCCATTCTCCTTTTCCTCAGTCCCTGGTAACCACTCTCCTACCTTCTGCCTTTATAAATTTGAACACTCTAGGTACTTTATGTAAGTGGAGTCATACAATATTTGTCCTTTTGCATATGGGTTAGTTCACTTAGCATAATGTTTTCAGGGTTCATCCATTCTGTAGCATGTATCTGGATTTCCTAATTTTTCAAGGCTAAATAATATTGCACTGTATGTAGAAACC